ATCTGAGATATGTAAATTATTTATGAAGTATGGTTAAAACGGATATTTAATTGCAAAAATTAAGGCTAATTTTGAAAAGTAAGGTGAAAAATTAAGGCTAATTTTGAAAAGTAAGGTGAAATTAAAAACTACTTCTTGAGAAGTGCAAATACGATGGTTTTGAGAAGCTCCCTTAAGAGACTTCTCTAGAATGGGCATTTTCAAGATGCACTTTTTGACAGGTTCAAATTTTTTTAGACATCAAACAATCTTATCCCTTTGAAAAGTGCTTACATCTATAAGATAAATTTTTGAATCATTCGCCGAACACACCCAAATGTGCATGTATCCTATTGAAGAATCTGGGCACATACATTGAATTATCCATCAAATCAAGTGAGGCGATTCCGATTGTGAGGCGATTCCGATCAAGTGAGGGAAGCAGATTTTCACTAAAAACCCTAAGAATACCAACAGATTGGGGAAGCTAAAATCGTAAGAAAGAGAGGAGGCAGAGACTAGAAAGAGAAATCAACAAGGAAGTGAGGCGATTCCGATTGTCTCAAAAGCATTTAAAGCTTGGTGTACGTAGGACTTCAAAACGCAGGATATGTGCGAGAAACAAGGACGAAATGATTGCTTAAAATTGTCAGAAAGGACTCTTCATGTGCAAATCAAGGTCACCACATGGAGGTGTGACTTAACTCAACTACAGCTCAGCCCCTGCTCAAACCCACTTTGACCAGAGACTGGGGAGCAACTAATGATACCTGAGAAAAATTATAAGTCTGAGCTTGGGAATTGAGGTCAGGAAAGGAGTTCAACCACACATGCTTGAGCTTTGAGGTCCTGACCTTGGGTTTTCTCAACCTGCCCCTTGAAGAAAATGAGTGGAAGACAGCTGGTAACCACCTAAAACTCCCTCAATAGTAATAGGCGCCAGTCTCAGTGGACGATCCTTAACTACCCAAATCTTCCCCTGAAATCACTAGAAATGTTATGGAAGGAAGGCAATGATCTCGCCTTAGACCCCATGGAATTAGGAAGTAGGCTATAAATACTATACAACGTCCTCATTACAGAAAAAGGCCATTAAAATTATATCAAGAACACTGTGTAACCCTCTGAAAATTATCAATATAGATCTCAGGAGCAAGAGGCTCCATTAAAGAATGGATTAGTCGAGCTCCAGAGTTGGTGAACCACTACAACTCCTCGGTGCGAATCAGCCCTTATCCCTGAATCATAGCACCATTCTCTCGAGCTTAGTATCTCAGATCGAACCTTACCTATACATAAACATTCTGCTCATCCACGTTTTACTCTACCATCAGTTTTATTGTGACATAGACGTCAAAAGTTCAAGTCACAAATATAATATCTCTACATTCAAGGGTACTAATCTAGACTCCACAATAACCAAAGCCTCGGTCGCCCTTTGTCAAATATTAAGGGTAACTCGTGTCTGAAAGTACAGTGTAATGAGAATGATTTTAAGAGGGATATTGGTGACTGTTTGATGAATCTATTTAAAATCGTCGAAAAAACTTATTAAAATTTGTTCTATTTTATATTATGGAAGATTGAGAGACTACAAATGCAACATTTCCTTCTTGTGACCATTAATTAATACTACACAGCTACCTTCCAACCTCCACCAAACTATAAACCTAATCTCAACCAGGCAACCAATCTCAATCAACAAATGCATTCAAACCCAGCAACCCCCTCTCTCTCTATCACACGCACACAATTTAAAAGGGGAAAGACTACGATATCGTCATCTGTACCATACTGAAAATTATAATTTTTTAAAACATAGGTTACATTTTACAAAAGGTATGATTTTACTATAAGAATTTTTGGTACTTAATTACGCCAAAAAAATAACGCGGTAGTTGTAGCACAGTTTTGGAGTGTCGATTCCACAGAGAAACAAATTAAAAAAATAATATAAGGGACAAAGAAATTAAAAAAATATATATTAAATGATTACTAGAGAACAAAGATTAATTTTAAATGTCACTTACAGTGAAGCAAAGTGACTAACGAAAAAAAAAAGTATTCAAATTTGACAAACAGTAAAGCGTCGGGAATCTCGTGCACAAATCTAGTATTTTAATTATTCTTAATTCATTGAATAACTCAACTAGGAACTCAATTCCCAAAATTCTCAATCGGAAGGTATAGATTTATAAACCAAAATTAAACCAAATGTAACTCATTGCAAAATCATTCACCACTTTTAAAATACGTAAATTATTTTTATTATTAAGAAAATTCAATGACGACAATATATTCAGGAAGCGATATTGCAGCAAAAAAGTAAATCAATATAGATAAATAATTGATCCAAACATAATCAAAGAGTTAATACATTCTATAGAAAAAGCCTGACTAAATCTATAAACAAAATAAATTATATGATTATTCAGAGACGAAAACATCGAAAAGTAATTGATAATGATAAAACAAAAGAGTCTTACTAATTAAAAATTAAATGTATAAATTAAAAATAAATAAAATATCATCTATTGTACAAGTTTATCCCGCGCCCCTACCTGAAAATTAAATTACCCATAAATATAATGGACAATAAAAATCTCCCAAAAAAAAATAGAACAAACCGGTGGTCATCGGCATTTTTCTGCTCTCTGATCTGCGCGGCCTCCCGGAAGCAGCCGCCTCCTCTGCATTTTCTTTTCTTCCAGCCGCCCACAAAGTAAAAAAGCTAAAAGCTATTAAAAGTGTATACCCTTTTTGAAAAATATCTTTATCAACTTTTCTATTCAAACTCTTAGAAAAGTCTAAATCTTGTCTAATTTGAAAATAATAAAATTCAATAAAAATTATGAATGTCAGGCCTACATGACAACAACATCAGTTTCAACTTTTTTATTCTATAGGCTGCCATAAAAATACAAAAATAAATATAAAAGCTCAACAATAAAGTCTCAAAAATGTTAAGTGTAAAGTCCAATTATAAATTATCTCTCACCAACCAATAGTGCAATATTTAAGATTTAAAATATTATAAAATTATGCTCAAATATATCTCAGTGTGAATAGATATTAAATTAAATAATATAAATTATATTTAATTATTTCTATTCAAATTTTAACATTTTAATCTAATAATAATGTATTTAGAATGCACTTTCACGCACTCATCGGTACTATATTAAATTTTTTTTTGGGAACCATAGTCTTTTTCTTGTTTCACGTAAATATTGAGTGTAATGATTATACTACATCTTAATTATAATGTGGTGTAACTATTTAATGATACTAACTTTCCACGTAAAATACTAACCGTCACATATTTAAAAAGTGAGGTTCAATAACCTATTTGTTTGCTTATTACCAAACAATTTCACCACGCGATAATACTAACTTAATGTTACTGTTACACTCAATATTTATTCTTATCCCACACATACAATTTAAATGGGAAAAGTGTACAGTATCGGAAAAAAAAATTAGAACAGTAATGCCAATTATAATTTTTTATAGTAAAATTACACTTTTGAAAGGAGAGATTACAGCTGTTTAATGCGAGATGATGATCGGTTACAAACCCCAAGATTGATCATAGACTTTTGATATCAATCCCAATCTTTCGTCATCGAGCACGCCTTTTAAAAATTATAACTTACGTCTCAAAAAAATTATAATTTAACATTAAAAAATTACAATTTTCAATATCCCTGATGGTACAGTCTAGAGGTGTTAATCAAGACAAATTTGAACTCAGTTCAAAAAAAGTTCGACTCGAACTCGACTCGTGTTTTAGACAAATTGAATTTAAATAAATTTTTTAAGCTTGTTTAATCTTAAAAACTCGACTCAAGCTTACAAAACTCGAATTTACACTCGTAAAATTCGGTTTGATTAACACTTATATTACCGCCTTTCCCACTTAATTGGAGGTAGGCCAATTCACACTCGTAACGCCAACCCTCCTGGCGTCCTTTCACAATTCCCACAACAATTTCACGAAAGAACCTTTCAATCCTTCCCGTTTATTCACACACCACACACATTGTACACACGCCCACACCCACACCCACACTTATACATACATACAGCTTTGTGTTGTGCGTGCGTGTTTTTAAAGTGAGAGAGAGACAGAGGGAGTGTGTTCTTCTTTGTAGAGAGAGAAAGCTCGTCGTAGAGTTCGACAATGGAAGGAGAGGAAGTGAGCAACAAACAGATAATTCTGAAGGACTACGTGATTGGATTTCCCAAAGAGTCAGACATGATTCTCAAGACGAGTACTATCAAATTGAAGGTTTCAGAAGGTTCGAATGCTGTTCTGTTGAAGAATCTCTACCTTTCCTGTGATCCCTACATGCGATCTCGCATGAGGAAGATGGAAGGGAGCTACGTCGAGTCCTTCTATCCTGGTTGGGTAAGTCATAATTTAAAAATATTATACTCATTGATGGATTTGCTATTGTATAAACAATTCTTATTTAATCGATGGCTGTGATTGAAAGTCAAAACTGTGAATATTATTCGGGACATTAAAATGGGGATTGTATGTTATTAAAAACTACAAGGGTTAAGTGCAAATTGGTGATTAAAATGTAAAATTAGGCAAATTTGTAGTGATTACAATGTAAATTTGAGTGCAATGAAGACTCATATCCTAAATTTGTGTAAAAAGATAGTAAAAAATTTGATTTGGTATAGATCTTTCCAATGGAAAAAAATATAATTTTTTACAAAAGAAGAGAAACTCAAATTTAAATAAGGACAAACCCCGTACGATCCCAAAATAATATAAAACACTCAAAATAATCTCACACCACACAAAAGTTTAATCGAAAAAATCAAGAATAAAAAAGAACTAAAAAAGACGAAAACCAAATATCAAAGTTAAAAGTATTCTTTCATCAAAAACTTAGGCAAAAGATTTTGCAACTACAAAACATGAAGACCCAAGGTCTTAACCACTAATCAAACTAATAGCTAATAAACTAACTCTATTATATAAAGATCAGATGAATCAAAATTCTATGGTTATGTATGTTAAGTGTATTGTGTGGATAATATGATAAATGACTAGAGATGTGTTTGCAGTGCCTTCAACTCTCCATCTTCATACAGTGTATATTTTCAGGATACCAGCTGACTTATGGGCCGCAGTCGTTCTGCATGCTTAACTAACAACCATTAATATCCTATCAATAGCATCAGTTAATTAGGTAGGACAACCATTAATAGGTCTGTTTTAGTAAAACAGCTGATTGTTATGTAACCTGAGGTGACCTCAAGTTGATTCAAACACTATGCATTAAAACTATAGAAGCCACTGATTGGCAAAATGTAGAACCATTGGTAGATAAGGAAAAAGGTGATATTGTACAGTGATTTTTGAGCCAACTCAAAAGGCAAATCATTGAGTGTCTACCATAGTCAGGAATTTCAAATACCTCACAGGGAACAATGAGCTTTTATTGTTCTTGAGTTTTGCTCTTGTTGTCATACAGCCTATAACTGGATATGGAGTGGCCAAAGTTGTGGATTCTGGGCTTCCAAACTTCAAAAAAAGGTGCCTTGGCTTGGGGAATGACTGGATGGGAAGAGTACAGTCTCATTTCAAATCCAGCGGTTTGTTTCAAAATTGGAAATACAGATGTGCCACTTTCCTACTATACAGGAATTCTAGGCAAGTTAAATCTTTTTGCAAAACATGCCACTTTTATTCCGGAGATGTTTCTCGTGTTTGTTCCTTCTTTTAAACTTTTTGTCTGTAAGCCTGGCTAAGTTCTTGACAGCTGAGCTCAGTTCCACAGCATTGGAGCTGTGCTCAAGCTTGCCTGGAACTTACTGTTTATAACGTCCCGAACGACTCTTTTGTACAAACCTGGAATATGTTACAGGTAACCAAAGGTAAAAAAAAAAATGACAGAGAAAAAAAGTGCAAACCTTGAGCAACTGAAACCCACCATACTAAACAAGTGAGTACCAATCGGTCTTTAGCCCCATGGTACTGCTCGTCTTGTAAAGTTTTGTTTTTTCAAATTAAAGGTTTAAGTCTCTTTCTTTCCAAAAAAAAAACCTAAACAAGTGAGAGTATGGAGCGAAGCATTATGCCTTTCTGTGTTATTAATACTACGCGGCACACTTCAAAGAAACCAGAGGAAAATAAAAAATCTTGAAGAGGAGAAACTGGGTGGTTCTTTAATTTTCTGGACCTTTTGGGGATGTTCTTGTAATTCTGAAACTTTCTGGGATTTCTTGTAATTTTTGGAACTTTTAGGGAAAATTTTAAAATTTTCTGATTTTACTGGGGATGTTTCTACAATTCTAAAATTTCTGGCAGTATATCTTCTTCTCCGCCTCTCTCGTCTCTGAACAAAGCAACAAGGGGCAGCGATGAACCAGATCTGGATCGACAAGAGCAACAAGGGGGCAGCAATGAAATCGATCCTGAGTGCTATGGAAGACGATTACTGTGCATGCAAGATCCTGCACAATATAAAAAACGAGAACAGATCTCTCCCTTGGTGAACTCGAGTGAGCCAGTTGAGTGACCAACCACGCTGCTTGGAACAGCCTGCGAGGTCCGGTGGTAACCTGGAACGGCAACGGGAGACCCTGGGGGAGCGGAAGAACGATCCAGTAAGGCTGAAAGAGGTTCCTGGAACAAAGAAGAACAAGTTAGAAGGGCGCCGGAGTGTTTTCCGGCGTATCCCCTCCGACGATCTAGTCAGTCTTTGAGAAAGAGAGAGGAAGGAGAAAACACTGAGTGTGTATTGTAGTAAAGAGTTTTTTGTTGCATACCCGTCTTGCCTTTTGCAAGGAGTATTTATACCTCAAAAGCTCATGATTGCTGTCAGTGTAGTCAGTAGGTGATCATTAGGTACAGGCAGTGTGCGCACTGATTCTGATGAGGAATGTCTTCTCTTCTTAACTGCTCGGGGTCCCGAGCAATCAATGCTGGGTCATCGGGATGCCGACGGTACAATGTACTCCTCTCGGGGAGGATGCAATAAATGCTCTGTATTAGGAGCATTTATTGCCTTTCATTTCCGAGCCTTACCGCATTGAATGCGGTCTCATCAAGGGAATGGTGTAATTAATCGTTTGCTTTCCCAAGTCGCGTGTCAGCAACGGCATGCGGTTTCTCTGTCTTCGATGTGATATCATACGCCACGCGTCCATCCCCCATTGGCTGTGGCCCCTGCATTCCAGTACGTTCTGACACTAATTGTGTAAGACGAGGTCATGATGAATAGCCTAGACTAGCCTAGGCTAATGACCTGTACGTCAATAGCTTATCCTGGAGTAGAGGAAGCGTCCAGGACGGGGTACCTCTCGGCACCGAGGAAAGGCTCATCTCGGAACCGAGGGAGGTATACCGACCGAGGTACCATATCAGACCGAGGCTACGTGTTGGTTGTAACTCGTACTGAATGCCATGATCCTATATGACGAGTACCTCGGGGGCGAGGACCTTTATGCGCCGATGGTGCTTGATCTTAGCAACAGTGTTTTGGTAAATACCGAGGACACGTGTCTTCATCATGGAGTATTTCAGAAAAGTCCCATCAACTGCCCCCCAGCCTTCGATCTTCTGACACCGAGGGCACGCGTCGTAAGGAGACGAAGGGTTTCCCAACAACCACAAATGCTTCATCATTGCCTCGAGCCGCTTTCCCCGGCTTAGGATGTCGTGTGCATTAAATGCGCCGTTTCATTTTTCGCGCCCAATGATGAAACTGCCACTATATAAATGGGGCTCCTCTTGCATTTTCTTGTTTCGCCATTCCGAACTTCCTCAAGAGAGCCTTTTCCTGAATCTTCGCCGGAGATCTCTTTCCTCTTCCATCGTCAACTGCCCATTCTTCCTTAAAGTCCTAAGGCCAGCAGACCCATCGTTGCTTCTGAACTTTCTGGAAGGAGTCGCCTAAAGTTTTCCAGAAAAAACTCCGTTTGGCATTCGGGTGAGTCCTAGTTTCTTTCTTCTTTTCTTCCTCCTATCCCTTTTTGTTTTCCGATGACTGGAGGTGTCTCCGGTTGATACTTAGCGACTAATCCTCGGGAAGCTTCCTCAGGGATTTTTAAGAAAAAACACCCTCCACTTTCTCACTTTCTTAGAGATGCCTCGTCGTCGCCCTGCTCCCGAGAATCCTCAGGCTGGTTCTTCGGGGTCGGGGAAGTATAAAGTAAAGGGTGGTGAGCAGATTAATAGGTTTAAGGTCAAGTACGGCATTCCCCCGTGCGTAGACATAGAGGATTATGACTCGGTGGTGCACTCTCCTACCCTCGGGGCCGAGGATGCTATGCCCTTTTATACCAAGGCCATAATAGAGGGCGGAATTAGGTTTCCTTTACCCCCTTTACTTCTTCAGTTCCTCTCTCACTTCCGCCTCTTCCCCGGGCAGTGTTGCCTTAATGTCTTCAGAATAATTATGGGGGTCTTAGAGCTCAATAGGCGCCTCGGGGTAAATATTGGGCTGAACGATCTCCTTTTTTGTTATTCCCTCTTGAGAGTCATGCCTCACCAACACTTCTACCTCAAAGCCAGGGACCCCTCCATGTACCTTGTAACTCATCTTCCCGACTCGGACAAGGGGTACAAGGACGATATTCTTATTTTCAAGGGATCTTGGCAGAGAGGTGTTGGTCCCGAGTATAACGGCTTGTTATGCCCTCTGGAATGGAGAACGACAAGTACGTCGGTTCCTTCGGGTTTATTATTTTGTTCTCCAGATTTTCCATGTTCATGACTACTTTTTTGTTTGTGCAGATATCCCTGCTCGGGAAACAGCTCCTCCCCCTCGGTCGCTGGTGAACTTTGCCGACCTAGTCACGGTTTGGAGATTTACTGGTGACAACGGGTTCGGCCAAGCAGCCCACATCCTGCTGAATTACACCCCCGGGTATAAGAAATTTTCACAGCTTCCTCAGCCTTTTGAGCATTTGCGGTGGTCTGAACTCTTCGATCAGGCGGCGAGGCAAGAGGTCGAGGAAAACTTGGAAGAAGACCCTGATCGGGCTTCGGAGGCAGAAGTAGAGGGAGTAGTTGAAGAGCTCAGGATCAGAGAGGACTTTGTTCCTTCGGACGCCGAGGTGGGGACTTCGGGAGGAGATTTGTGGCCGGACTTCCAAGTTCTACAATCTCTAGACNATCGGGCTTTGGAGGCAGAAGTAAAGGGAATAGTTGAAGAGCTCGGGGTCAGAGAGGACTTTGTTCCTTCGGACGCCGAGGTGGGGNGCTTCGGGGATAGGATTCCTTGAACTCTGTCCCCAGGGCCTTGCCTTTCCAGGAGGCTTGCTCCTGTATATGCTTCGGGGACAGAAGCCTTTGAACTCTGTCCCTAGGGTCTTGCCCTTCCAGGAGGCTTGCTCCTGTATTTGCTTCGGGGACAGGAGCCCTTGAACTCTGTCCCCAGGGCCTTGCCCTTCCAGGAGGCTTGCTCCTGTATTTGCTTCCGGGACAGGAGCCCTTGAACTCTGTTCCCAGGGTCTTGCCCTTCCAGGAGGCTTGTTCCTGTATTTGTTTCGGGGACAGGAGCCCTTGAACTTTGTCCCCAGGGCCTTGCCCTTCCANACCAGTTCCACCCCATCCTCAAGAGTTCTCAGTCGGGGTCAAGTGCGTGACCGGGATCCTCAGGTAGAGGAGGAGAGAAGGGTCAAACATAGGCACGATGGCCTCGATAGAGGATCCAGGTCATCTTCCGCTCAGCAGCAAAGCGGGAGAGGCCGTGGGTTACTCCCTGCTCCTCCGCAACAGCAGCAACAGCAACAACAGCAACAACGGCAGCAGCAGACTCCCCCTTTCCCTCCGCCGACAGTGGAAGCCGCGGAGTAGAATCCCCGAGCCACCGATCACATGAACCGAGTGATCAGGGTCGATGACTCCATTTTGCTGGACCCTCATGTCGCCAATGCAGTGNTTTTCTCTCTGTTGGATCATGGGTATTGGCCGTTACCTTTCTGAGGACCAGATCGCCTATTCGAAATTCTCGCGCCTTGACCCTTCTGTTGTATAGTTGGGAAATCTTCTCCTGATACTTNGTGTGAGACACTGCATTTCGAGGCTGACATGGCGGCTCACAGGGGGCGATCAACTAACGTGTTGTTCCGCTTTATCATCTAGAATTCCCTGGTGGTAAGTTCATTTTTGCTTTGGTTTCTTCCCTCTCGCTTTCCATTTTTGTGATACGTCTTTTTCCCTCCTTTGCAGGCTACCCAACAGATCTCCATAATAGCTGCGCGGTACCATGGGTCTAGGATGGACCTCCAGCGGGCCCGAGAGCAGAAGGAAGAGGCGGAGGGGGCCCT